TCCTGGAGGCTTCCTGCTCCCCCTTGACCTCGCCCATGTCAGCCTTCAGGACGCCCACCCTCCCAGCCCTACTGTTGTTCCTTAGCGCGAGGTCACACCTTCCGGAGGGGGGGTGTAATGTCACAGTCACCGTCTGCACTTTCTGTCTTTGTCATCACTACACTTCCCAGGATCCCGCTTGTCTCCTCACTTGAACTCACTTCCTCATTAGCCACCTGTTTCTCGTCATGATCATCTGTGTCACCTGTCTTCACTTCGTTAGTGTTCATTTGTGCTTGTATTTAGTTCCTTCCTGTTCAGTCTGTCCTTGTCGATCGTTAGTCATACCCTACCAGAAGTTCTTTGTTAGTCTTGCCTGTTAGTCGTTCATAGATGTGTTTAGTGTGTGTGTTCCTGCCTGTCTGTACCTGTGATTTATATATTGGAGTAAACTGTTTAAAGTGGAGCTTTTGCCTGTTCGTCATTCCTCAACCACACCAAACCCTGACATGTGAATGTCAAATAGATGATTAGTTTTGCACAGTAATAATCAGCAACAGGCCTATTCATTTGTGGTAGTTTGTGTGGGTTGTGAAATACTTGAAAACCGCAAAAAGAAAGTCTCAAAATCCAAATGAATCAAATGAGATCAACTCAGAAAAGACTAAATTCATCCCATAGACACACACATTCACTCTCTCACTCTCACACTACCACAATGAAGGGCTTTTATTAATAATCTCACTCAACACAACATTTAAACCTTCCAAACAGCTAAAACAACAACCATTAACAGAAAGAGTTCAACAACAAATTAAATGGCAAAAACAACTGTTTCTAAATCCCCAGAAGGCAGAATCGCGACACACCCCTTCCAACTCCCAAAGTTATCCTTCAGTCCAGATCCAATGCTACCACATCTTTAAATTACTATTAGTATTATTTGAAGTTAACATTATAAAATACGTAGACCAACACCACAAAACTAGTTGAGGATAAATGAGAGGCGGTATTAACAATAAGTGACATGGCGTCTGACGCACAGAAGCCAATGGCACATGTCACTATGCGTATTGGCACATCCGGTGGCACATCTGGTCTTCATTGGCATGTGTCAGTGGATATAGTGGCATGTGTCACTGACATTATCGCGACACACTGACATGACACCTGACTGACACCGAGTCGTGGAACATGTCACTGTATGTTGTGACACCTCCAGTAGTGAATGACAGATTAAATAAAACACTCACTTATACTGACACCTACTGACGTGCGTCCGTGCAGCATCACGCAAAAATAAAGGTTTACAGTAACGGGACTGTTAATATGTTAGTCGTAGTGACCCATGATAGATTTATTGTCTTTCCTAGAATGGGCAGTTTGTGACTTTGTGAGATAAACAACATAAAGTAGCACTGGTATTACAAAAGATTCAGTGAAACATACCAATCAAATACAGACGTGACACAAATAACACGTTTGAAAAAATCTAACTGACTTTAATGTGTTTAATTTAAAATATCACAAAATTAGGCTAATATTTAGGCTATTGGGCTATTGATTTTGTGTCACAATTACGTCAGTATAGGTGCACAGTTAATCTGAGAGAAAGTTGTTCTTGCGTTCCGATTAAAAGTTTGTCGGTCTTCAGACAATACAATATTTATTGTGTCCATCAAAAGTGTGCTTCACTTTAATTGAGCGTGAGTGGTGCAGCAAAAATAGCCTCTGCGCTTCACTGGACCGCTTCACTGCTGCTCACACGACGCTCCTTCTCCCGGTGTGAATGCAATCATTGGTTAACATACATGCCGAGCAAAAATACCCTAACCCTAACCCATTCTTCTTTGCAGGTTCTCTCATGCTCTGCACATGTTTTATGTCTCCCTCATCTATCACACCTGATTCAACTCATGAGCTCATTAGTAGAGACTGCAAGACCTGAAATGGGTATGTCAGATATAGGGAGACATTAAAAAATGTGCAGGGCTGGTGGTACTCCAGGACAGGTTTGAGAACCACTGCTTAAAATAGTTTACTATACTTAGGATATTAATATCCAGAGCAATTAGTACCCAGTTATGGCCCATTAAAATGAACAGCCGTAAAACAGTGACTCTTTTCAAATTCCCTACAACACAGCATGTGAGTGAAGCGGTGTGACGCGATATTTCACTCTATGCCAGTGCGCTCGCTCAATCACTCACGGCCCGAGCGAACGATACACTCATGCACCACTCACTCACACCGGTAAAACTACCTGCTCAAATCCCACTCCGGCATGAAATTTATCTGTATTATTTGTCTTTAATGAATTTCTTGAATAAATGTCTCAATTGCAGATGGCCTATAGATAAAAGTTATGATATTTGTGGTTTTAAACCAATCTATTGTATAAAGTGCTGTATAAACAATCGTGACATGACTTGACTGGAGTGCCGAATTGCAGAGCTGGTGCAATCACATCCACATCGCTGTGATCAGATGCTTTCTTTACTGCTGATTTCTCATCACTGTGTTTTGGTTGTGTTTGTTATCAAGAGAGAAGGGATGTTCACTAACACTAAACTGCTGAGAAGGTATTTCAAACTTCTTATTACCCCTAAGCAAAGAACGAAAAGGAACACTGCTATTAGCTATCTCTGTTTCTCCACACTCACTTTCAATTTATTCTCCATCTTCGTTGTTAAATTAGATGTCTACAATGTCTTTATGTACAAGGTGCGCAACTTCATTAAAACAATATTTTAATTCTATCATCTTAGATCTATTGCTTATTTCACATATTCTTGAACCTCACTGCTTCTTGTCGAAACTCAAACATGCTGTGTAACATGAGAATGAACCTCATTGGTTCCTTCGGAAGCTCAAACGTACTGCGTAACACAAGAGTGAGCCTCACTGGTTCTTGCGGAAGCTCAAACATGCTGCAAAAACTACAGCAATCAGTTACAATGACACATTTATTTAACACATCATGCACAACCAAAGAAACGAGCTACACTGTCTTGCAGAAACACAGATAAAATAAAAAATCAGCACGTCTCTCAACAATGGTGGCCATATTTTTTTTATTTATACTGCAGTGCATGCCGGGAGTTTTATACTATCCTGGAACCCAGCATGCATTGCGACATGAAACTTTTGAATGTCACCATTGTTGAGATTCATTTACTGATTGTGGATGTCTGTGTCTAAGTCAAGGAGGAGTTTGAGTTTCAATATCCTTCATTATAAATGTTTACAGAAACATTGCTGGATTTAATGTAGTAGATTCACAGATATTTAATCAATAAATATTAAATACCCATAAATTCAAAGCATATACATAAGAAGAGAACATTGAATCAGATGTCCAGCAAATACTGATCTTCATCATGGGGACTACACACTTTATTATATTCAATAAAACATCAACAACTAAATATCTGTTAATTCTCAACACTGGTATACTGGTTTGTAAACTGTTTTCACACTCTGTGGCTGGAAGTCATTTGTAGTTCTTGTGTTTCTCTTTTTTCTGTTCTTGTTTCTCTGTCCTTCAGTGATTCTACTTATCAGGTGTTCATCAGTGTCTAAATTCACTCATTTCTTTTTATTCACTATGTCAAGTGGGCTATATTAGTAAACTAATGTATGGAAAAGTGATTGAGAGTATAGGGTGTGATTGGGAACACAGCCTCTGAGTTGCGATTTTGAGCACTGTTAATTCACAGTAATATACCGTAGAAAACAAAAATAGCCTACAGGAATATAATGTTTTAATGGAAAATGGTATGAAATTGTCCGAATTAGGCCTTTTTTCACAGCAAGGGTTAACAGTGTGCGTAACACGAGAATAAACCTCATTGGCCCTGTCCCAAATGGCGCACTTCATGCGGACTTTCGGTCTCGTGGACTTAAATTGCGCGTGCTCGCTGAGTCTACGGGTCCGTAGGCTGTCCCATTTAGCATTTTAACGCTCTGAAGTGTGCTCAGCAGCGCCCCCTTTTTACCCTTGAAGCGGTCTTCCGCGAAGCCCGCATAGATGCAGGCTCCACGCACTTTAACTACCCAGGAATCCTTGCGAAAGGCCAATCAGAAAACGGATGGGAGGAGATTTCGCTCACGGACAATTGTTAACATGGCTGAGAAGAAAATATTTAAGTGTAATTATCATTATGGTTTTTATGACAAGTTTATACAAACATAATGATCATCGACCAGTGGTTGATTTCTCAAACATAGGCTAATAATAGCGAGCTGAATAATACTATCGCATTATGATTCATTAAATAAATAGAACAGAATGTCAGGGCTTTACTGAGTCATATGTCACAACAACAATAGGCAGCATATTTCCCCAAACCTGTAGCTCCTGTCTATAACAACAATCAGACCGTCTTCCTGTTTCCGGCGTGACGATCGAGTCTGTCCCAAAAATACCTCTCAATGCGCCCTCGCGGACTCGCGCCAAGGGCCCTATAGGTCTACACTACATGACGTCACCGAAGTGTGGACTCTGAGGAAGTCCACAAGTCCGGAGTGTGCCATTTGGGACAGGGCCATTGGTTCTTATGGAAACTCAAACATGCTCCGTAAAACAAGAATAACCCTCATTGGTTCTCACACATCAAGCAAGCATGTCCGAGCTTCCGTTTGGCATAACTGATGTGTGCGTTGATGAATATTTATGTGTGAATAAAAGAGTCAATTAAATCTGTTAATCATATAAAGCGACCATGTCTCTTCAGAAAATTTGGATTAAACTAAATTCAAATAGATCAGTTTCACAATCTCTTTATGAACTATTTGAAGCGTTGAAGTGGTAGCACTGTCAATGGAGGGACAGTAATATCTCAGATTTTATTAAACATTTCTTCATTTCTGTTCTGAAAATGAATGAAAGTCTTACAGGTTTGGAACGATATGAGGGTGAGTAAATAATGACAGAATTTTAATTTTTTTGGTAAACTAACCCTTTAAAAAAACAAAACCAATCAAACTAGACAGGATTATTGTTATATTACTTAACATACTTGAGTTTGTCCAGATGGTTGAGAGTATCAGAGAGCAGCTTCAGTCCTGATTCTCCTGGGTGATTGTAGCTCAGATCCAGCTCTCTCAGGTGTGAAGGGTTTGAACTCAGAGCTGATGCCAGAGCAGCACAACCTTCCTCTGTCACCAAACAGTGCGATAATCTACAACAACAGTAAGTGACCATGTTAGTGTGCTTCTGATTGATTTTAATGAAATCACAGTGTTGTAAAATGTGCAAAACTCAGCTACAAATTATCTTAAGGATCTAATTGTAAGTTATAATTTCAAAATAAAAAACTCTATGTTTACCCATAAAATCTAAAAGAACTAACCCTCTGGGGTCGACAGACGACTTAAAATACTAATTTATGTAATTTATAGTCATACAGCAATACATAATTTGTTTACTTTCATTTGTGTCCACTTGCAATCAAAACAAAACAAACAGGATGTTTCCTGCCATCTCTGTGAACTTTCTTCTGCAGTGTGTCACAAAAATGAAACAAAACTTATGTATAAGAGAGGGATGTACCGGTCTCTCGTGTCAGCTTCCTGCTTATGTGAACATGCCTACAGACAGCGCACGCTATCATATGGTAATGATCTGAGGCAATTCATGCAAACCGAGTCAACGTTTCATCAGAATGATAAGAGTTATTTACTTTAATTTTGGGATGCGGTGAGAAATAATCCTGCAATAAGAATATTTTTAGAATAAGTTTGCCATGATATGTCCATGAGTGTTTATTTTTCACAGACCCTCAAGTACCTCAGTATGTTGAGTTGACAGTTTAGACTATTCAGTCCAGCACAGAGCAGCTTCACTCCTGAATCCTGCAGGTCATTGTTACTCAGGTCCAGCTCTCTCAGGGAGGAGTTTGATGACTGTAGAACTGAAGACACAATTTCACAGCACTGATTGGTGAGCTTACAGTGTGCCAACCTAAACCGGGGACAAATAAGAAACAAATCATTTCAAAAACAATGTTATTAATACAGACTGGTGTTTTTATGGCACTGTATGCATTGTCTCATGTTTTTGAGAAAGGGTCTGCAAAGAACATGAATGTAAATATCCCGATATACTTCAAGGGAAATCGGTCCCCCCAAAAAAACGATTTAAATCAATAATTAAATAACTTGTTTTAAATCAAATTGTTCGGGTGCCAGACAGGAGTAGGTCTGTCAAAATAAACCCTGGATAGCACAAGTAAACCACCTGTTACATAGCAAAAATTCCCAGTGTTAAATTAACACTCTCGGTGTACATATTTGGTCCAACTACAGGGTGTTAAAAATGAACACTGAAGCAGTGTTGAAGTTAATGAGATAATTAAGTGATTAATTAAGTGATGATTGGCCATTAGTGGTGACACCCGATGTGAATAAGCAGAATCATTGAAGGAAAGAGAAACAACAAGAACGGAAAAGAGAAACACAAGAACTACTGACTTCGAGCCTTTACACATTATTGCACTTATTATTACCAGTGTGACTTTATTTCTGTCATACATCTACAAAAGTTATTGAGATTCAACAGAAGTTTAGACGTTGAATGTTTTATGGAATTTTTCATTTCAAGCCACCATTATGGTGGTCAGTGTTTGCTTTAGTTGTGCTCTTGACCCTTTTCATTTTTTGTTGTTAGTTTTTCTCTGGCTGCTCCAACATTGTGTTTATAAAGCATATTTGTTATTGCACGAGAAAACCTGCTAACAATATGTTGTGATGACATTATCATCACGTATTGACCTGATTCACTGATGTCATTCAGAGTCTATATCTTTGACTATATGGTTGATGTAGCGTTTTAGTATTGGTGATTGTAGCCCTGAGATTCTGCAGTTTGAGATCCAAGAGCAATATGAACAATTTTGAAAAGTCTTTGTGCACTGGAGCTCTTGTGTTTAGACACACAAACATCAAGAATCAGCATATGAATCACAATAATGGTGACAATAAACAAACTAGTGACACACAGATCAACTCTGAACATCACAAAACAAGCTATTAAAAGTCATAACAAAACAATAGCAAAATAAAAACAAACAGGAAAAACAATGAAAATTACAGGACAATTCAGCTGCATAATTTATTCATACTGCAATGCATGATGGGAGCCATGGATGCATTTTGATTGGTGGCTCCCATCATGCACTGCAACATGAATCTTTTGTGTGATTGTCACCATTGTTGAGATTCATATGTAGATTCTTGATATCTGTGTGGGATTTTAAAACCTTCAGATTATTAAAGCACTGCTGGAATTAGCTACTGTAATGAATATGAATAGAACCTTTGTATAATCAGTTTATAATGCTGGTTGAGTGAATCAGGACACTACAGGATTGTAATTTCATCATTTAAACATAACCATCATGACCTGGGATGTGTTTCCCAAAAGCATTTTAAGCCTAACTTGATCGTAGAACGATTGCAACAAAAGGTCTGTACGATCAAATTAGGCTTACGATGCTTTCGGGAAACACAGCCCATGTCATGGTTTCTCTTGCAGTAACACATGTGCTTTATAAACAACGAGTTGGAGCAGCCAGAGAAAAACTAATGTTAAAAAGCAAAGGGTCAAGAGCCCAACTAAAGCAAACACTGATCGCCACAATGGTGACATGAAACGAAACATTCCATAAAACATTACCATCTAAACTTCTGTTCAATATAAATAAGAATGTGTGTAGATGTATGACAGAAATACACTGGTAGTAATAAGTACAATAATGTGTAATGGCTCGAAGTCAGTAGTTCTTGTGTTTCTCTTTTTTCTCTGTTCTTGTTGTTTCTCTTTCCTTCAATGATTCTTCTTATTAACATAAGTTGTCACCACTAATGGCCAATCGTCACTTAATTATCTCTTTAACTTCAACACTGCTTCAGTGTTCATTTTTAACACCCTGTAGTTGGACATATATGTACACCGAGAGTGTACATATGTACACTGGGGATTTTGCTGTACAACAAAACCAAAAATGTTCACAAAGTCTGTCTTTCAACATAAAAGGGTTTAAACAACACCCCTCAAATAACACAGTCAAAAGTTAACTTGATCAATACAAATAAAAACAACAACCAATAGTTTTAACTCAGTTACAGCAGCCAAACTAAATCTAACGTTAATAGTTTAAGGATCAAGACCCCAACTAAGTCGTGACTAAAATGTGATTTTTCTCCTTTGTTGATTCTGCTTGTTAACATCAGGTGTCTTCAATAATGCTCAATCATCACTCAATCAATCACTTAATTAGCTCATTAACTTTAACACTATTGAGTGTTAATTTAACACTCACTTTAATACTCTCTCTGAGTCTGGAGCCAAATGAACTCCTAGGAAAGTTCATTTAACACTGGAGTTTTTGCTGTGTGAGTTCATGGGTGGAATACAAATATGGCAGGACTTTTACTTTCTGACCCCTGGACTTTCCACCTCTGCTTGATGGTAGGGACTTGAGACTTGAACATGTGTGGCTTACTCCCATCTCTGGTCTCAGGCCACAGACAAGGGACACCCTGGACAGATGGCCAGTCCACCACAGGGCTCACACAAAGACACATGTATTCACACATATGGATAATTTAGTGTCTCAAATTCACTTATTGATTTGTGGGGAAAACCAGAGGAGGAAGGAGAAAACCCACACCAACACAGAGTGAAAATGCAAACTCCACACAAAAAGGCATTTAATTACATATCCATTTTGCCATTTGGAGTATAAAATGATGTGAAAAAACAAAGCATTTTGAGAATAAGTTTGCCACGATATGTCCTTCTGTGGTTATTTTTCACAGCCCCTCAAGTACCTCATTATGTTGAGTTGACAGTTAAGTCCAGCACAGAGCAGCTTCACTCCTGAATCCTGCAGGTCATTGTTACTCAGGTCCAGCTCTCTCAGGGAGGAGTTTGATGACTGTAGAACTGAAGACACAATTTCACAGCACTGATTGGTGAGCTTACAGTGTACCAACCTAAACAGGGGAGAAATGAGAAACAATTAATTACAAAAACAATATTATTAATACAGACTGGTGTTTTTATGGCACTGTATGCATTGTCTCATGTTTTTGAGAAAGGGTCTGCAAAGAACATGAATGTAAAGGCCCCGATATACTTCAAGAGAGGTCTCCCCAAAAAACGATATAAATAAATAAAAATAAAAAACTTGGAAAAGTAGCTGCAATAGACACATCGGAAGTGAATATTAGAATAGCAAGTGCATGTGTGTCTGAGAGCGTGTGTGCTGGAATGTTTGTGTGAGAGAATGCCTTTGAGTCACTGAATTTTTCTGAAGTGTGTCTTGCGACCGTAGTGGACTCTAAGATGATCATATATCTGATATTTGCTTTTATATTTGAAGCGAGTAAAAACCTGAACACATTGGAGAGTCATTTTATAGTAGAAAATAAATTTGGAATAAAATATATACCAATCTTAGTCAACTTGGAAAAGTAGCTGCAATAGACACATAGAAAGTGTATATTAGAAAAGCAAGTGCGTGTGTGTGTCTGAGAGCGTGTGTGCTGGAATGTTTGTGTGAGAGAATGACTTTGAGTCACTGAAGTTTAACAGATCGCAAGATTTCTGAAGAGTGTCTTACGACCGCAGTGGACTCTAAGATGATCATATATCTGATATTTGCTTTCATATTTGAACGGCTGAATGAAGCTGGTACGTGAAAGTGTGTCGCGCCAGTTCACAGACTAAACGAAGACAGCATGAAGGAAGCGTCAGGCCAACAGGATCATAAGCCCCACTCCACACGGCAACTCAAACTTTGCATTCCTCTCCGACAAACTTTCTCGAGAACTGCATTCACTTGTGACGTCTCTCCCCATGTGCACTAGCCTTGCCCTTATATTTGCTTCTACCAATAATTGATGCAAACCTTCTTTACGTCAATGAGTTGACACAGTGAGAGTGCTCTAAAACACAGCACAAAATAAAAGTAGTAAGAGTGTTTACACTAACATTATGAATATTATAATGTTTAGACCAGTGTTTACTGAGTTTACTGTAAAATGCCATGTTTGTGGATATCTGCTCAAACGTAGATGTTTATAACATGTTAAACAATGTTTCATATGAGGAGCGGCTCGATCGGTCTCTGCAAGCACCGCAAGTGCAGTTTGGGGCACTTACGCTGTACATTTGAAAAGCAAAGAGCGTCAAACATTAAATGTTTTACTCCAAACTCACTTCATAACGTCATAACATATTAATCCATTTAGTGTACTGAAGTGTTCCTTTCTATAGTTATAGGCTGCCTGCATTTTCCCCGAAAAAATAAACATTTTCCTTGAAGTAAAAAATATTATTATTGTTTGTTAGTGCTGTCAACGTTAACACGTTAACCAATCCAGTACATTTTTGTCCAGTTTAACGCATTAAAATATTTAACACAATTAATGCAGCATCTGTATTTTTTGTCATCCTTTGGCTAGCGTTACATTATATGATCACGCTGTAATTCATGCAAATGATTTTAAACCATTCATGCGCGACAAGACAAAAGAGACCGCATGCTGTCTGTGAATGTCCTGACGCACACACGACGCACAGAAAGACACACGTCAGTATCGTGCGCACAGACAGCGCCAGTATCGAGTTCTCTTTCATATTTATGCCAAATTGTCCTTTTTGTCGAGTATCCTCATAAGAGCAGTCTTAAATTAGTAAAATAAAGTCTTAAATGCACATAAAGAATTGTGAGAGAATGAGAAGCGTGTGAGATCTGCATCATGTGCAGCAGCGGCAGGTCTTAAAGGTACAGCAGCCACTAATGCTGTCTGTCATTGATGTTAATCAAAAAACAAAGGTAACGGGGACAATTCCTCACTGCTCTTTACTAGGGATGAAATGATTACCGGTTTCACAATAAAATGTCCTGACGGTTAGTATTATCGTTTAAAAATGTTATTTTTAAAAAAAATTCCAAGACTTCTGAAGCCATTCGATAGCTTAATGTAAGGTACAAATGAATATTTAAGTCATTAAAGTTAATGGACATGTCTTGCTCCTCACTGTCCTCAGTCATTTTCTATTCAGCATTCAAACAGCGCGTCACGTTCAGTTATGACAGTAACACGATCAATGATCCCATTATTATACTTTATTTGTAGAAAAAGGTATATGGTTTTGCATAAAAGTACTTTATCTTGCTGGAGTTTATTTCTGTTTCTAAATCATGAACTTTCTCCCGGGTGTCAGTTAGATAACAACTCTGGAGTAGAGAGCACTATGAATTGTTCTTCACACGCACAGTAACTGAAATTTAAAACTATTAAAAGAAATGCTCAATAAACTGTTTCATAGATATGATAAACTACACTCCATTATGGAGATCAGTGTTTGATTTAGTTGGGATGCTGACCCTTGACCTTTCAACATTAGTTTTTCTCTTGCTGCTTGAACTGTGTTTTTGCAAGCCACGCTTCTGCACGCACACATGGTTTGTGAATGCAGTTTGTTATATTGATTATGATGACAAAATCATCATATGGCCTGTTCATTCACTGATCTCATTCAGTTTAATCCTGTATCAAAAGTGAAACTGTGAAACTACAGCAATCAGTTACAGTGACAATTAGAAATTGTTTAACACGTCATACACAACCAGAGAAACATAGCTACACTGTCTTGTAAAAAAATACAGAGAAAAATCAGCACACATCTCTCAACAATGGTGGCAATAATTGTTTTCTTTATTTATTATTTATCTATTTAATATTGCAGTGCATGCTGGGAGTTTTATACTATCCTGGAACCCAGCATGCATTGCGACAGGAAACTTTAGATTGTCACTATTGTTGAGATTCATATGCTTTGTTGATGTCTGTCTGTGTCTGAGTCAAGCACGAGTTCAAAATGTTTTAAAGGGGTCATATAATGGTACATGCACTTTTTCAAGTTGATTGTACTGAAATGTGTGTTGGCAGTGCCTGTACACAACTATCATATAATGACAAAAATCTATCCAGTGTTTTTTTTTTTAAATCTCCTTATATGTTTTCCCCTGTCTCAAATCGAGCCGTATGATCGTGTGCCGTCACACGGTCAGACGCCCCTCCCACGATTGTTGATTGACAGCAGCGTTTCAACACAGACCCGCCCTGAGCGAGCTGTCATCATAGTCCGCCATTGTTGATACGCTGGAGCAGAATGGCGTCTAAGCGATTGTGGTGTTCTGTTCTTGGGTGTAATAACGAACACAGAGTCATTTTGATGTTCCTAAATCCGAACCGCTGAAGACGCAGTGGCTGAGTTTTGTTTTCGAAGGGAATATTCCCCACGACCAACGGCAATGCTTTCATGTTTGCGCGATTCGTGAATCTTTTCTCACCAGACTGCTTTATAAACAAGGATCAGTATAAAGCTGGTTTTGCTAAGAAGCTGCTCCTGAAAAAAGATTATGTTTTAAGATTATTCCCTCAACTATTCATGTCCCTGCTGCACCTCGAGAAGAAGTGAGTGTAAAATTGTATTAACCTTTATATTAATCTTTGCAAATCGCTTGTACGCTTCACGATGAATGCGGCTAAGGTTTACACTCAGGGTACATTACGGCATGTTTTCTATACGACGTTCTCAATATAATTCATAATCCAATGTTTATAATGAACAATGCGTTATGGTTATTGTGTTATTACAAACTGAGTACGTATACATCAGTAAACACATTGCGTTCGTACATCTCACTAAGTTACTCTAACGTTACCCTGCCAGTACACAAAGATAGATCAAAGTGACATTATGTTAACCAACCATTCAGAAACCTCCTGTTCGAGCCTTAATTGTCTAACTTCTTTGCGGCCGTCATCTTCCGGGTCCGACTCCGGTTCAAACTGATACGGTTGCACAGATGTGTCCTCAGAAACTCCCGCTGCCATTCTTTCTCCAAAATATACCCTCAACTGTTGTCAAGGCAACACTCCACATGTGTTGTGTCAAAACGCTCGCAGAACAGAGGGGCGGAGTCAGCGAAGCTCATTATCATTTAACTTGACAGAAATATATTACATCCACTTATTTAAGACGACAACAGAGACTTTTGACCCAAAGCAAGCTGGTTTTGGATTCACTTGTGGATGCAAACAGCAAATCGCAGGCTTAACCAGGGAAAAAGAAGCAGGCCTACATCATCATCTACCATGTTTGGGAGAAAAGAAGATAGTGAGGAGAGCAGTCAGGAGGAAAGTGATGACGTTAGCTTGTAGGATAAGTGTGATGTAGGATTAGTGTAGGATCTATCTATCTATCTATCTATCTATCTATCTATCTATCTATCTATAATATTATTATTGTGTTATTTTTCTATTTTTGTAATCCCTATGTATGTCTGCACTATGCCTGTACTTCCCTTCTACACTGGAAGCTCCTGTCACCAAGACAAATTCCTTGCGTGTAAACATACTTGGCAATAAAGCTCAATAAAGCTTTCTGATTCTGATTCTAAAGAGATATATAAATAAACGTCACGTGACGTGACATGATTTTACTGGAGTGCTGAATTGCAAAGCTTGTGCAAACATCCACATCACTGTGATCAGATGCTTAACTCCAGTTACAATGCTATCATTTGTGTTTATTTTGTTATTGAGAGGAAAGCAAGCCGCACATATTACATAGTCATCTAAACACCACTCTCAGCAGTGTTGGCTGCGCCAGGATGTTCGCTAACAGTATGTCGCTGACCATGTATTTCGAACTTCTTTATACCCCTAAATGAAGAACGGAAAAGAACTTTGCTGTGAGTATATCAGGGGCTTAAAGGATTATGTCACCTTTTGATGCTCACAGCTATCTTGAATAAAGGTAATGATGAAAACTTGTGGGTTACATAATGATGGATCATCGATAATGGCCACATTATCACTCTGTTTTCATCTTATTCATTCATTTTCATTATCTTATGATCATTAATCATTCATAAATCAGCATACTGTAACTAATTACAGGTGAAGGAAAATAT